TATAATTATTACCTATTAAGTATATTAGAACTTAGGAATATAGTTTCCCGTATCCTAGAGGGAAGGTAAGAGGTATATTCTATCGATATAACCTTTAATATTCTATATCTATACGCCTTCTAATACTAGCGTAGCTAAACGTCCGTGACCGGAAGTATAAGATATATAAGACTAGAATTCATATTAGTATATAAGAATATATAATAATAATAATATAACAGAATCGGTTATCCACCTTTACCTCCTAATAAAATATATATTACCTATAGTAATAATCTAGCCTAGCCCCTTCTTATCACTCTGCTAACTTAAGGTTAGATATTTCCGGATATAATTAAAAGATTCGATATATATAGAGTATACCCCGAATAAAGGACTTTCGAATTCTTACTAAGACTATCGGGAAAGTAAAAGACTAATATTCTTACCCCCTTAGCGCTCAACACTCCCAGAATCGAGACTCCTTAATTAATACCAAAGATAGAAAAGCCTATATAAGTATTACCTTTTACCCTTAAGAAGTATAATTATTAGTTAAGGGCTTTAGTAGGTAACTACTAAAGTATCTTACGGCCGGGTCTAGGTCGCCTTCAAAATACTATATACCACTATAAGCGGTTACGACTTATAGGCGATACTATCTATAATCCTCGCGATTTTAATTTCTTATGATCCTACCCTTCTCGGGTATATATTACTTACTAATCCTAGTATAGCCTCCTATATTCCGCCTTTATTATTATATCTTAATCTAGATCGGGAGAAATTAAGTTAAGCTAACTTATATAACTTAGATTAGCCTAGCGAATACTATAAAATATAGGTTAATTTCCTTTAAGATAAAACCCTCTATAATTATTTATCTTATTAGGTATAGGACAAAGCCGATACTAAATTTTACGTTAAGTAAGAGAGGGTTTCAGATTTATAATAGTAATTCTATATTCATTAATTTAATTCCGCTAATACTATTCTCTTTTCTTAAGGTTAGGCGACCGTATTATAGCGGGGGTAGAATACAAAGAGCGTTTATACGCTTTATTTTCAGCCTTATTTAATAGGTGATTTATTAGCTACGAACCTAGTAACTTACTAGCTATTACCGCTATAAGCGATAGAGAAATAGCTTATATATTATTCGTTATATATTATATTAACCTATATTATACCGGGATTTCTTATAATCCTAGCTATAAATAGCTAAGGTCTTCCTCGCCTTATTTAATAAATACTAATCGCCCTAGTAAGGCGGTTTTGCTACGAAGCTTTCCTAGATAATAAGGTTCGGATTAGGGGTAGGGAAAGTCTTATAACTCGTATCGGTATTAAATCCTATATTATTATATCTTTACGTAGGAGTAGGTATCCTTTCGCTCCTAAATACGTTACTTAGAACCTAGCGTCTTATATATATAAGATAACTTAGTATATCCTAAAGAGGTCTAAGCTCCTATAGTAATAAGGCTTATTTCCGTATATATATTAGTAAATCCGCCGTTCGTCTATAAATATTAAATATCTTTATATAGCTATATATACTTCTAGTATAGGAGAAATTATAAATAAGTATAGTCCCTATTAAGTTAATTCTATTAATATTAATCTACTCTTATATATTATTATTCGTTATATTTATTATATCTTTAATAACTACTAAGATATATAGGCCTATTACTACTAAAATAGAATATAAAGATATCTTAAAGAATAAAATTATTAAGCACTTCTACTAACTTACTTTAGATCCCGACTTCTAGAAAGTATCGGCGACTTATAGTTAGATTAAAGAGTAATAGGAGTAAATCCGGGCTCGAGATAAAAAGCTAGCTAAATTATAGAAGGATATTAGAGCTTAAGCAGAGAAGAAATCGGTTATAATTAGTATATTATCTATAGTAAATTAAAACCTAACTATCTAAAAGGAAAATATAGAAAAAAAAATTATTTCTCTTTAAAAAGAGGCTATAGAAAAAGATAAATCTTTAGCTAAGATCTCTCAAAGGATTTAAGAACTTTAGAGCTAGCTACAAACGTAGCTATCAGAAAGATCTTAGGATAAAAAGAAGATAAACTCGATAATTATATAATATAATCTTGAAATAAGTTCCCTTTAGAAAAGACTTAAAGAAAAAGATATATTAATCGATAAAATAAAGGCTACTAATATAAAACTTACTAGCCTTCTTACTAATAAAAAAGCGAAAACTAATTACCTTAAATAAGATAAGAAGTCGCTTAATAAAGCGATACGAAAGGCTCGTAGTCAGCTTAAAAAGTTCGATACCTTTATCTTTAAATATTACTAAATTAATAAGTAGTTAATATTAGTACTTTCCCTAAGCTTAGTATTATAGCTTATTAACCCTAAGTTTTAGAATAGATGGTTTTTCGGGTCTCTAGGACTATACCGTAAGTAAAATCTAGACTATCCTACGGTAGAATCTAAACGAAGAGAATCTTATAGTAGGTTTATTCTAGATATATTCTACGCCCTCTAATATTAAACTAAAACTAAAACTAACTTTCCTTAAAGAATAATAGACCCTAGAAGAAGTTCAGACTAGATACTAATACTACTATCCGAGATAGAGCTATCTAAGGATAGTCTATTCCCCTATATACTTCTAATTCCGATACCGCTAAGGGAATATATCTAGCCGTGATATTAGGTATTCTATCTAGGTAAATTAATAAGGAAATTTTTTAACTAAGTTACTTTCTATCCAAGACTAGCTATTTTAGGCTTAGCCTAAATAAGCTCGTAAAAAGTGATAACAAAAAAGAATATTTTTATTACTCCGTTCTACTTTCTATTAACTATAACGGATAGGAAGCTAAACTCCGGTCTAGGGCCGAATCTATTATTCGAACTATATCCTACTATCTCTATAAGCTTCTCTCGACCGTCTAGTATAGTGAGCTTAAAGAGAGGGTAAAGAATATTATTAATAGGGTAGTCGAGGTCTAGTATCCTATCCAGAATTCTATAAAAAGATATAAGATAGAATTTAATCCTACCGATTAGGCCTATAATAAGGATTTTCTATTCTAGTTTCCGGTGGGTAGTAAAGATCTAATTAGGGCTAAGTATTAAAACGATTACCTTCTTATTATTTTCCCTAGATTATATTACTTAGAAAGTAATACCTTTATTTTGAACTTCCGTTGTTCCGCTTACGGGCTCGTAGAGATTATATATTACTACTAATTAAGAGCTAAGGGAAGAAGTTCGAGGATAAGCTAGCCCTATAACTAAATAACCTAGTCGGAAAAGGCAGAACTCTGTTACTAAAGCCTAATCGTAGTTAAATAGTACTAGTTTTTTAGGGAGACACTCCTCCGGAGGCTTAGGTAATTAAAGAAATATAAGTTACGTACTCGAGCTAAGATAGGATTTTAGCTATCTCCGGGGATATTTTATTAATAAAGATAGCTATTTCTAGTTTAAATTTGCTAAGTACCTATATTTATTTTCTCTTACTTTATTACTAACCTATATTTAGCTTCTGTTTTGTATTATAATCTTATTTACTATCTAGATATTAAGACTAAATTGTTAGTATAGTAATAAAACGTATTAGCTATCTTTCTACTAATAAGAAGTCGGATACCCTACTAGCTATCCTACTATCTTTCGCTCCTAAGGGGGCTAAAACCCCCGCGAGATATTAGCTATATAGCGTCATTCACTCTCTATTATTCTAACCCTTAGGCTATATAAAAGCTACCTAGAACCAAGAAAAGACTTACTACTCGAATATATTTAGACGATATTTAAATAAAAAGGTTAATATTTACTTCGATAATCGAAGAGATATATGAAGAATAGGGTATTCGACGGTCCTCTTAGCTCTTAATAATAGCACCCGACAATTTACCAGAATTTCAGCTTCCAGCATAACTGCGACAGTCGTTACAGCTAGTTATAGTAACGCCAAACCCGGTCCTTTCAAATGCAGTCATTAGGCGAATATCATGAAGCCGTTTGCAGGAACGTTGCCCAGATGATGATAATACACAACTGAACCTTGCTCGTGTCAGAATTCCCTGAACAACGACCTAAAGCAAGCATGACATACCTCAAGTGCAATCACCCATGATTTCCAAGCAGTGCCCATGATAGCAATGATCAGTAAGAAAAACACCATCGCCGAGACATAGTACAAAATATGTCGCACTCTTGCTCTGCCTTCAGTCATCTGCCCAACCAACCACCAGTACCACCAAGCCGCACCCACGTAGTCTATGACGAGGATAAATAGGCCACTTAGATGGACACTATATAGGAAAAATGTGCCACTTAGTGTAACCACAATCATTGCTACGGTTGATGACAATGCGAAAAGGGGGCAGAGGATGAGTGAAAACCGCGGTGGGTTCAGAAGACGGCGTTGTTGAAAGCTTATCCGCAGACACTGCAAATGTTCATTTAAAGTCGTACATCTTACGAAAAGGCAAGACTCACCACCTGAAGAGAGGGAAGTATTGGTGTAAGGCCAAAGATAATCTGACTCCATGTAGGCGCCATTTTGCTCCAGAAGAGGCCGACGAGCACTCCGAAAGAAAGACACAATAGGGCACAAAGAACCATGTCTACCCTAGAGTATGGCCAGGTCACTTGAAAGTGAAAGAGAAGATAAATTCGAGCTATGCTCATAATCAGAAGTAAGGTCATTAAGCACGACTCGGCAACAGCGGATGGAATCATTCTTTGAATTGGTTATAGGCAAGCACATCACTTCTCAGAGGGTAATGAGGCTATTTATCTCAGGACCACGATGATAATACAGGGCTGGAGTAGGTAATTTGAAGGAAGTTTGATTTCTTGGCTCTACAGGTCAGGACCAAGCTCCCAGGAGCATTATATCTCCCAGAAATAAGAATAGTGGGGCCCTGATGGCGAATTTCAACCTTCCAAACTCATTCAATGATAGCTGCTAATCTTGGAACTCGCATAGTGCTTTAAAAGCCCTCAGATGTCATTTGATATATTTTCTGTTTTATTTCCACATCCAGCGGAAAAAGCCCTTTTTCAAAGACGGCATTTTGTCCAGCACAAGCTGAAAATCCGCGTCCCGCATCAAGATTTCCAAATTCCATAGTGCGTAGTCTCCCAACAAGTTTTTGATGTTTCCTCTACCTTCAAATCCATTGATGTCTCCTATGCCTTCGAACTCAGAATCAATCTCCTCAAATACAAATTTGAATAGAGTTACAATATCCCGAGTTCGCTCCTCGCAAAGGGCGAAGTTTGCTAGCAGCTGCAGAAGGTGGTAGAGAGTTAGATGGTATAGCGCAGTCCACCCGGTTCTGGAAGCGAAACGATACATTTCAGCATGGCAAAGAAATATGTCTGCATAACTGTCTTTAGGGTTGGTGGTCGATTCGTCGTTGGCTCGGTATTTGGGATTCACCTGACCCAATCGCTCGCGTAAGTCAGCGCAAACAATGGGCAAGTTTTCTGGGTGAAAAAAGTTCCAGGTAAGCCTGGCAGGATCCCATTGTCTCACAGGCTCCGTCGGTGCTTGGTTGCCGAGACCGTCGTAGATCGGAGAGGGGACGGAGTAATCACCAGAGTATACAAACTCGCAGAAACGGCCAAAGACTACCTCGTCAATTTCCTCGACTATAGGAGGTCGAAGAATCTCGCTTGGAATGGAGCTAGATAACTCCGTATGAATTAAGAACCGCTTTCGGTCCTTTCCAACGAGGAACTGAACAACAGAATGCATGAAGCTACACAAATATCAGCAGTAGGAACCAGGACGAAGCGAGGTATGTGGACTGAAATGTACCTGTGATATTCAAGGACCATTTTGGCAAAGGCAGAAGTCCGTTCCACCAGTCTGAGGATGGTAATTGTATTCTTGAAGGTCGTCAGAAGGGAGCCGAAGTAGAAATTGAACGCTAGAATTGCTTACTGTTACACACACACACACAATTCATTAACGCCCGGCGGCTGAGCCGAAAGGGCAACTGAAACGATCTATCAATACATGTCCGAATATATATCTGCTGTATCTCCTTCGAGCCCATGCATGCATCCCTTCACTCTATGTCCTCTCAGTTATCAATATCATAGGGATCCTTGTGGGTTAGTAATTTGGTTAGTAGACTGGCTTGAAGGCGCTTCTTCAAGTGTTCAACATCCTATCTTCGGCAGTTGAAGCGCGTCCACCATCTTTAGCACAAGGTGGTTGGTGTAGGTTAGTTAGGGGAAAGGTATCAATGTGTTGGTCGACGTGATTAGGCGGCGTCGAGTCGGCCTGTGGCGATCGCGAATCGTATTGAGGCTCGCACGGCTTCCAAGTTCGGTATCCATTGCTGACTATCGGAGGGCGATTTCCCGCCCAGAAAGAAGGAGAGATTGCCCCGGTGAGTGTTACTACATTGCAGCAGTGCTATTTATTGTGATGTGAGGCTGCTACTGCTCAGGAATAAAGCCGCAACATCGGAAATAATTCCTGCTCTATGTATAGGAAGACCCAAGTTGATTTCCAATCAACTTAGACTTCATGTTGTATATATAGCCTCATGTATTCCCTCAAGAATCAAGAATTAAAGCTTCCTTTTGCTTTACAACACTATTCGTTGTATGGTCTACTTCCGATACCGGAAGAGGAAGTGTTCCACGGTCTCTCTTGCTTATCCACATACACACTAGTCCGTCTCTGCAACGTTGATCCGATAGAGGTAACTATTAAGTCTGGCCATACCAGTCCGGAGTTAGGCTAGTACGCTCGCTTCTTTCCATAATAATCCATTATATAGCTATCGGGTATATTTTCCTAGTAGCGCTATATCTACTCGTTTCACGTATCTTCCTACTTTCTCTAGTAAGTCATTACTAGTAGCTGCTTAGGACCGAGCGAGATTTAGTATTATCGACTTTATCCTAGGAACCGCTTCTTACGGGACGGTATCCTTCTAGGTCGCGGTCCTAGCCTTCTCCTTAGCTAGACCTAGCAGCTTATTATCGTTACTAGTAGGGACCTATAGAATACTAATATAGTTTCCGTTTCTCTATAGTCTTTAGATTAACTTATATATTTAGCAAACGAACTCCTAGCCCGATTATTATCGAGGGTTCCTTATTATAAGGGCCGCTACTTTATTACTCGTGAGTAGCGTGATCCTATAGACTTTCAGTCCCGCTAGTATATTTAATATATATACTATTACTACTAGCTCTACAGAGAATAGATTTTGCTCTGATCTTACGCCTAGTATCACAAAAAAGCTCTTTAGTTTCAGCTTTCGATACAGAGATAGCTATTTCTTAATCGTAACCCTAAATCCTATAAGGCCGTTCCGGGCCGTTCCGGGCCGAGCTACTAACCGTAGCTTATATTAATCCGCCCGGTACTATATACGAGTCCGCTATTACTTTAATATTAGTCTATATATAAGTCTCCTATAGTACTAATATAAACAGATCGATAGTTTCTAGTATCTCTATCTCGATGTTTTTTAGCGCGTCCGCTACCTAGTATAATAGTAAGCGCGGTAGTATCTCCTGAATTTCTTAATCTATACTATACTCCGGCGGAGCGGATAGGTTTATAGTAGGATATAAATATCCGTCTATATCTTCACGGCCCTTCTCCAAAATCGGCGTTATATAGTAGCGATATAAGCCTCTACCTCCGTAACGCTAGTCGTAACTATAAGAAATATCCCTATAATTACTTACGCTTCTATCCTTTAGACTCGATTAATTAGTCCGCTAGCCTTATCCTTATAGACGTATATCTAGATACTAGAAGCGTAGTCTACTACTAGAGCTACCGTTAATATAAATAGCTATCGTACGGTTACTAGCGTTAGGCCGCGAAGTCGCCGAAGCTCTATTACTACCTCTAGGCCTTTAGACGCTATCCTCGCGATATATTCTATTCCTTATATTTAAGTCTCGTATCTATAAGAACGCCTAAGATCTTAATATAGTCTCTAGGTACTATAGCCTATCCCTTAATAGTAAAAGGCTTCTAATCCGTTTTATAAGCCTTAGGAGCGAACTATATAATAGCTATTTTATCTATCTTAAAAGTCGCTCTGCTCCTTTTCTCCTAGTCGAGCGCTTTAGCGATAATTACTTCGATACCCTCCCGGTTACTCTAAGTAGTTAGTCCGGTTACCTATATAGTAAAATTATCTATAAACACGATTACTCCTTCTTAGCTATTAATCTGTCGTTATACAAGGTCTACGTTAAAGAAGAGAAATAAGATCGGGGACAGTAGCGAGCCCTATAGTAGTCCCGCTTAAGGTAGGTTTTAGACCTTAGATAATTACCTACTAATCTAAATAGTCGCTATTCGTTCCGAGCAGAATACCTTAACCTACCGGAGTAGATCCTTAGGTATACCTCGCGCTTTTATCCTCTAAAGTAATCGTTCTTTATATACTCTATTATAGGCTCCTTTAATATCAAAGCTAATTAAGCTTAATACTTATCGGCCGCGCTACGCTATATAGATTTACTCTTATAGAAGTACGAGTACTTACTCCGCCGACCGTTATTTTCGGGCTCCGAAGTAGCTTATCGGGAGTAGGCTATAGATCTCTACCGCGTATAAGATCCTTTCCGTAACCACCGATTCTAGTATCTTACCTAATATCGTAAGAAGTGAGATTAGTCTCTATACTTTAGTAATACTATAGTTCTCTTTATTAGGCTTTTTAAGCGGTATAATCTTCGCGTATCTCTACTATTTTAGTAATATACCTCCTTCCACGGAGGCTTAAAATAGATTAAGAACCCTATACTTGACCGTAGGCTATATTATCTTCTAGACTATTACCGGTAGGCCGTCTTCGCCCGGCGCTTTCTAAGATTTCGCCGCTAGTAGTTATCGCTCTACCTCCTCTATCGTGATAGCTAGTATTTCTACCGGTACTCTTTCTAGTCTTACCCCTTTATCGTTAATAGTATCCGGCAGAGACGGGAAGAATATAGTTAGTAATACTTCAGCTTACTCTTTATAATTAGTAGTAGTCGTTCTATCTACTCTTAGGAGCTATAGGACTTTTCTAAACGCTACGTCGTCTCCCGACTTTAGGTATTTAGCGGCTTTCTATATATTATTATTATTAGTAAGGAATTTATTCTAGTACTTTTTCTTTTATTATCGGATAGCATCGTGATATTATTTCGCTATAGCCTTAGCGGCCTCTTCTAGGCGTAGTACCTTTCGCCCCGCCCGTCGCTCGAAGCGGGCGCGATTCCTCTAGTATATATATATTTAACAGAGCTATATCAAGTCCTCCGTCTACTATCGCTTTATATATAGTAACGGTTTAGCCTTTAGTGTTAAGATATATACCGCTTCCGAGATAGCCGATATAAGCCGATCGGTTTTCTACTATACCGTGCCTTCCTATAGAGTAGCGGCTAGGGTATTCGTAATTCTGGTATTAATCTCTCTCTATAGAGCATTTTTCAACAGGAGTCGTTCCTAATACTCTAGGGGCGACCATAGGGCATCGAATACGGTCTTAATAGCGTAGTAGTCCGAACCGTATTCCGTCCCGAGTATAGTATACTTAATAATTAAGTCTGTTAGGTTCTCCGATATAAGGACGAGGTCGATAGTAGACTCGTAGTTACTATTCTGCCCTCCGCTATACTATGTTTTCGTGCCCCGTCTAAGTAGACTACTTATAGTAAATTTATTTATAAGGTCGATGATTAGATCTACTTTGTCTTACCTTCCTAGAGATACGTCGTCTCCTCCCTAGAGTTAATTATATCGGTTAAAATCTCCTACGATTAAAACCTCTACCACCGCGCCTATATCTCGCCGTACCTTTATAATCGCGTTACGTAAGTGATTATATATATCGTCTAGAGCTAAGGTATCGCCTCCTTTAACGTAAACTAATACTATAAGAAATAGTTATTCGTGGAGCCGGACGACTACTACCGTAAGATCGGGGGACTCTATCGGTACTTACTCCGCCTCTACCTCTTTATTTACCTAGAGTATACTTCGAATCGCCTACCTACCTTCCCTCTAGGCAGAAGGAACTATCTTTATCTATTTATGATATCCTATCGGGGTAGTTAAGAGCTAGCCTTAAATCCTCCTCGCCTAGGGTTCCTAGATCGCTAACGCTATAGCGTTCTAAGTATCTTCGTTATTTATTAGACTCTCGTGTACTATACCCTACTTCCTTACGTTTAGTTAAATTATTCGGAGAGTTTTATTTATAGCGTAATAGATAGAGCTTCCGATAGTTCTTACTATACGATTCATAAGGGCCTCCGTATAGGATACACTTTAGGATAATTTAGTCGTAGCTACTATAGCGGTAGCCTTCTGCGGTATACCTTACACACTTCTAAACGTTCTTATACTAGAATACCTTATATCCGATCTCCTAGTAGTTATAATATTACGTTAGTCGCGGTCGGTATTTAAATATACTAGTTATACCGGATTCCCCTCTAGCGTAAAAGAACCTGTCGGCTAAGAGCCTCCGCGTATCCGCGCTTTTAGTTAGGTATATAACTATAGACCTATAAGCCTTTATATTTCCCTTTCCGCTAAGCTATACAATCTTAGTAATAGTAGCGTCGTTCTCCTCGCTAAATACCGTTATAGTATCGGCTCGAATCTTACCCTTCTCGTCTAGAACCGCGGCCTTATTCACACTATCGACTTTGATCGGGTGAAGTTCGTCACGAAGTACCCGGGCTCCCGCCCCGACTTTAGCCTCCGATACTTCTTTAACCAGCTAGTACTCGGCTTTATCCCGGTAGGTAATTCGGATCCGGTTTATATTTTTCGGATCTACTATAACAGCACGATAGCGCTAGTATATATGGTTTTCTACCGTCCTAATTTCGGTTTTAATTGCCGTGCGAATTGAGCCTGCGGATATCCTTTCGTTTCCGTTATCTACTATCCTCGAGGTATCTATCGTGTAATATAATATATCAGTGAAAGTGGTCGGTATCGTGTTCGACGATGAGAGGGTTCGTACGTTACTCGGATAACTCGTTAGGGGAGTACGGGCGATATCTGCATAGGATAGGGATCCCGAGGCGGGATCTGACGGGTTGATTGCTATACGCAGGGAGTGAATTTCGCGAAGGATCTCATCGTGGCCGTTCTGGGAGCAAGGCTCAGAGAGGGCTTGCGGTGTCGGGGATCTGTCTGCTAGGGTCTGTAGGTTCTTATGCACATCGTCGCGTCGTCTAATCTCTTTCCTTAGCTTCACGAGCTCTTTCAAGAGATTGGTAGCGCTCAAGTCCTCGCTCTCCGTCGAGGCGTCGTCCGAAGATACCGCGTCATGTTGGAGTACTGCTTTGCCTTGGCATTTCTTCTTCGATTGGGCGCGTGTCAATCTCTGCTCGGTGCCAATTTCTTGCTCTTGAGTGTAGTTATTCGGTGGTCTTGTGGTGCGTCTCGGCCTCGTCAATCGTGGGGGTGAAGCTTCGTGTTCGTCACGGTCGGGCGGCTCAGGGGTTCGCGTCTCGGCCCGTCCCGCCATTTTTCTTTCTCGCGTAGCTCGGGGCAACACAATACAGTCGGTCGCAACACAATCGCAACACAATCGCAACACAATCCTCGGTACAGTATAGTAGTCGCAGGTTTTCCAATTAACTGTACCATTACTGTTACAGTTGTTTTCGAAATCAGTTTAACCTTACACTCTTGAAACTTGATTCCCGGAAAATAAATCCGAACAGTGTGAGGTCTGATTGGATGTTATTTTAAGCACTTTATTTTAGACCGCTTCCTACAATAGTCCATACATTTTACAATACGTTCTTAGTTCCGTAGGTGGTGTATTTTACACGAAATTAACAGACACGCGGTACGTCCTCACCCCTCTCTCCCTTTCGTGACAAGCTGCAGCTTCCTGCATAACAGCTCCCTGCTTACCGTTATATTTCAGGCGATATAGCTCCAAGACTCTCAGCTGCAAAGCTTATTCTCATCCGTGATATGATAGAGAGCGAAACTTTTACCACGCCTGAAATGGCTGAATAGACCGAATGTAGCAAGCAGACTATCATTAGTATCCGCAATAACTTACGGCAATTTGGAAGCTTATACGCACCACAAATCCGGTAGGACGAAAACGAACTGTGACACCCCTGATGGTCGAAGCTTTTTGTGATCACCTATATGAAAACCCGGCCTATACCTCGAAGAGATAGTTGTATTCCTATGGGATGAGTTCCAAGCCATAGTTAGAACCTCTACCATCAGACGAGCCTTTCTCGCCAAAGGTTAGTCTAAAAAGACTGCACGGAGACGTGCTAAAGAACAGAATGCCGATCTGCGAGACTATTATCTACATAATCTCTCAGATTTTAAATCTTACCACCTAGTCTATGTTGATGAATCTGGATTTGATAGACGTGTTGGGTTCAGACGGACAGGCTAGGCACCACGTGGCACGTCCCCTTTGCAAGATCAGAGATACCAAATGTTACCCACGTATGCACAGGATGGGATCGTTCTGTCGCGTGTCTAGAGATATCTAGCTCACATATACGAGCGTCCGTAAGCTAGATAGGAGAATATTATTTCTAAAGCTACTAAGAGATATGTCTGTTCCTCATGCGGAAAACTTGTACCCCGCTCTAATGTCTATCGGATAGATAATGGGGATCCTTTACTCCTGCCATTGAAAGGAACTCTTGATACCTGTGGCCATCATAACAACAGTTGGGATCGCTGTCCGATTAGCGTAGCGGGAGGGACGTGGTATGGACGTGGTGCTGGAAGTGCTGGACACGCTCCTTTAGCTTGATCGCGGCGTATTTTTGGTATTTTTGGTATTAAATCGCTTCCTGAATAAATTAATTAAGCTGCAACGTTTCGGAATTATGAAATGATATCATGCTAAAATTCAGGTGGAATTCTCTTCTCGTTGTCGACATATTGTGACATGGGTGGTTTGGGTAACCTGAAATGACGTTAGTTAATAGACAGGCCGGCAATACTGACTAAGGCCCGCACAAGCCATCCATTGGGTGAGGTATCAGTGGGCGGGTGATCGGCTGAGTACCCCAGTTCACCTTTTGTATGACGTATACACTCTTCATCGCTATTGCTATTTCAACGGGACCCCCAACATCGCATTCGCATCTCTCTGGATCACCTCAGTATTCTATTTCCTATAGCTCAATGAAGTATGATAAATACTTTTTGCCCAACGGGCAGCAGATCAATGTTAAGCCATCCTTTAGGGGATTTACATTCACAGTCGATGAACACACCTTGCACGGCTCTTTTCCACCTAGGTGGTCGATATCTGTTTACACCAAGGACTTGGGTATAGAAAAGTCGTCCATTGATGGGAATGGTCAGTTCCTAATCGATCCTGTCTCTTCATTTACGAGACCAACCCTCCTCAGCGATGTGCTACACCTATCTTCAATGTCGACGCCATCAATCCACGACGCGAAACCTGAGAGCGCTGTTACTAGACAAGTGGCCATGATTTTATTTGCCACTTTTCTCTGGTACTTCCAAGAGCCTGCACCAGACCGGCATGTACCCACATCGAATGCATATGAAGATACAGGAGGAGAGTGGATTCTAAAAGTCAAAGGAGACGGCCTTCTTAGTGGGAAACACCGAATGCAGAAACTCGAAAGGATGGGCCTTATCGCGACTACTGACCCTTCAGTGGGTTCGCAAGAGAGCCCAGAGACCTTTCTTGAGATGTTCATCAGTCAAAGAGCCTTCTGGCAGTTGGATCCTGGGATCTATCTGTTTACTCTGGATCCGCCCAATTTTCCAGTCAGTGATATTGAGGAATGGACTTCTCCTCCATCATTGGATTCTTTTGGAAGAGGATTTCCCTTTGGTGCTGGGCCTAATACTGTTGGGACCTTGATACCCTCATATTACCCTTCCATCCCACTTCAGTATAAATTTACTGACAGGATTCGCCATCCCATCCGCCCAAGAGCTCCTCGGCAAGGCGAGGTGGTTTATACGAGATTCATTCCTAGCAGTGGTCAGAACATAACGTTCCGCATACCGCTAATCCCAATAAAAAGCTCAATGAGGTTCTGTTCCATAACGACGCAGCCAAGCGAAAGGAGCGGTCCGAATCTATGCCTTGATCCAAAACTTATGAATGATTTGGGGTTGCTTTATCGATGGACGAACAAGTCTCCAGCTCACACAAGCTTTACTCAGAGCGGTTCTTTAGAGGCCCAGAGGGAAAATCTGAAAGCCAGCATGACAAGCAAATCATCTTTTCCTGTACTAGCATACTGGGGATCGACACCTGTCAGTTTTCTCGAGATTTTCTGGGTTCTTGAAGATCGTCAAGGTAGGCTGCGGGGCAAAGTAGAGGACTGGGATAGGGGCTTCCGGTTCTTCATTGGAAACGACGACTTTAATTGCCTGGATAATCTGGCAGTCTTCCTGAGTTCGGTGGTTCATTATTGTTGGTTGTGCGACCAGAGAACATCTTCCGTCCTGGTGGAGGTTCCGGCGGACCATGAAAGGTATGGTTTGCTTTTGACGAATAGGTCTCCCTGCTAGTTGTTGATTTATTGAGCCCAGTATCCTGTCAAACCAATGCTAAATTAATCTACAGGTTCATTTCATCCCTACGAGACATTGGTTTCTTTAGGGAAAGCGAAGTATATGTTTCGCAGGAGCGTGCTGTCATCATGAAAATTAAACGTAGTTTCTGGGTTGCGCCATGTACCTAGTATAACTACCATTTGAATCTAGTGTGATGCCTAGAAAACATATTTAGTGCTAAATTTGAGCTACATGAAATCTGTCAGCTTCAGCTGGCTTTGCTACTGTCACAGGTAAATCTCTGTTGTGGCGTACATCTCAAGACCTTAGATTGCTGACAAAGACAACACAACGGAGAACTTCTCCTTTCCAAGCTTTTTGTAAAGAGTTTATGGCCTAGGCATCTAGATTAAACTCAGCTCTAACTTAAAAAAACCTGCGCATTGTAACGTCATCTATCTGTCGACTCGTTCGACTTACATCTAAACTACGGTCTACAACTAAAGCACTGAAAAAGCATCTGAAGCAAACACACAATCCTCATCGTAGGCCTTTCCCTCTTCCCACTCGTGCAACGGAAGGAATCGGAGAGGATATAGGCCACGTCTACTCTTGGGGTCGACACTATTCCCAAGGACACTGGACGGGGGATAGGCTTAGGGCAAATCGTGCGGTGTAGGGGCTAATATAGTAGCTAGGGGTTAGCACGTAATCCTAGTTAGGTTCCTACGTTGCATGTTCGATAGATTGATATTCATGATCGACGTGATATAGGCTTATCCAAAAACGTAAATAAGATCCTTTGGAAAGTCCATATTAGTTTGGTGAGCCAGATGAGATTCGATACTGACAACGAATGAGACGCGCTGTAGATGACAAAATCTGTGGGATGAAGTAAATATCCTTTCATACCAGGATTAGCTCTACACGGCGTAAGCACAGCCTTCTGTATGATGACTGGTGGGCGTACAGATATACACGAAGGCTACGCTGCATATGGGAAGAATGAGGCGAAGTGGCAACCTTACACTAGAGGGAAGGCGGAAAGCGGGCGGACGATCTTGCCAGATCGCTAGATCTACCAAAGCGTTCTACAGAATTCGATGTATCATTACTGGTTTATTACAATACGTCCTTCAATGAGGTATAGTCATTACCACCATAGTTCTGCCCAACAAATAGAGCGGTGACCCTAAACGGGATTAGCGGATTTCGGATTTATGTTCCAGGAATCAAATCGAAAGAGTGTGAGGTAAAACTGATTTCGAAAACTACGTGTAGAATACTATAAATAGTGGCGTTTACTTCTTGAGCGAGGGCTTCTGAAGGGAGATGAGAGATAAAGCTATCAGCTATGGCAGGTGGTGCGTTTATATCCACCTCATCGAGTGCTAGCTATCCTGGACGACAGGAGAAAGTGATTCTCATGGGCGGCTGCGGTACTGAGGCGCTAAGCTAGGGATAGACTGTGGCACTAAGCCTGACACGGATTGGTGCCCTAGTATCTTACCCTACCCTGGCCTTCAGCAGCAAAGTAGTTTAACAAGAAGGATACGGCCAGTTCTCTCCTTGCTATAGCGTATCCTCTGGTACGTCAGTACATTTGAAACATGTTACTAATATTATAACTAATGATATCATCTGGATAATCGAAGTCAACCCTTTGAAAAAGGAGAACCATTTCTCTTCTTAACATCGTATAACTACGCTAAGGTTCGAAATAAGTATATAGGTAGATCTTCCTCCTACTACTTCTACTATAACTTCGGGACCTTTAGAGCCGGTTATATAGAGACTAATCAGGTTATCTAGTTACGTATTCAAATTCAAGGCTCTAATAAATTTTATCTATAAAAACTAGGATAAGTTATTACTAAGAGAGTACACCCCATAAAGGTCTAGTCATAGTCGAGTGAGAGTTATTAGTATAGCGCTGAAAATATATGACTTCCGCAAACTTTTTATCGTAAATATTATAAGTAATAATAGTACTTAATATAAGATTCTGTAGATGCTTTCGCTTAATATACTTCGAAATATCTCTATACGATAAGAATCGCTACACGCGCTTCTTGAGAGCTAGGTTTTGCTACCCTATATAAATAAAGTAAAATAAGGGCCGATAGTCCTTTATGACAGATCGAATAGTATTTTCGAGTAGGCTTACCGATTTAGCCTAGACCTTAGTTAGTTCGCTTTCCCGCTTCTAATCGATATTATCGCGCTTAGCCAGATAGCTTTCGACCCGTTTATTTTATAGTAAACGGTATATAATACCCTTCTTAAATTAATAGTAGACGGTAATAGTATTAATAGCTTTAGTACGTCGATATATTTCTTAGTCTAATATCGGCGATAGCAGAGTTAAAAGACGCTTAATTAAATATCTCTAAGGCTCGGGTAGCTCCTCCGTAGGTCGTAATTTTATTATTACCGACTCGACTAGCTTTATCTTAGATAGCTACCGCTAAACTTCTAATATAGGCTGCTCTTAATTATATTTCTGCTAAAGCTATAATAGTAATATATTTCTAGCTCGTTCCCTTATACTATTAAGCTCTTATTTCAGCTTTTAATAGCTTTCGTATTTCGGACTTCCCTAGTACTATAAGAGTAGACAGCCTAGTTATTAGCGAAGTTTATCGCGACGCTAGATAAGGATAGAAATTTCAGGCTATTCGTTAACTAAGGAGGATTAGATAGTTGTTAATTCTTATAGGCGGTCGGGGTTAATTATCCGGCTTATTCGATAGGCTATATATATAATATTATTATCTAGATTTAGACCTCGGATAATAGTAGGAAGGTTCTTATTAATCCGGCGGTTAAGGTAGTACTTTAGAAAAGTACGAGTATCTACGTAGTATATAATTAGGTTACGAAGTAAGTTACTTATAGGTCCTAAGATATATAAAGTTAGTTATAAGAACCTACCTAACCGCGACTATAAAGGAATACGATTACCGCTATTATCTAACGCCTTACTAGTCCTATATCGAAGGCTATAAGGACGGGTAACTTATCGGAAGCTAGTAATGGTACTAATACTTTTAATCTAAGGAAGAAGAGTTAAGTAAGATAAATATTTATCGGCCGAGATCCCGATATCTTATAATATTTACTTAGTCTACCGAAAAACTAGTACGTCGTCTAGAGCTAGATTAAGTAGTAATAGAAGCTTGTTATAACTATCCCGGATATATAAGCGAGGAAGCTATTCTGCGGATATTAGGACCTCCTCTCCTTTAACTCTCTTAAAGATATAGTCTATAAAAAGAAGCCCTAGTAAGAAGATATAGGGACTAAGAATAAGCGACGGATTAAATATAATCTCTAGTAGGATATATATATTTCTATTAATCTTTAGTAAGCTATAGTAAGAGGTAAGAAAATTCGGCTAAATTAATAGACTTACTCGTCCTTAGTACTAAGAAATCCCTTCGTATATTCAAATTTAAATTCGATTAAGATTCTGTAAGGGCTACCCTATAGATCTCGGAGTAGACTAACTCGGATATAACGATACCGTAGGCTTAGTACTACCCTAGGACGGTTTGCTATAAGCCTAGCTAATTATAAGAAAAGGTATAGCTCGATACGATACTGACTATATCCAAACTTTTTCTTCGTAGTACTAATAGCCGTTTCCACGACTATAGTTAGGTCTTCTATAAATATAGTAGACTTTTCGCGGCTTTTCTAAGATAGTTTATGCTTTCGAGCTAACTTACGGATTACCTATAATATTAATCAGAACTATAATAATATAAAGTAGAAGAAGTCCTAGAGGCTAAGAGATAACTTCGTTTCTTACCCGGCGTATCTGTCGATTTATCTATTTTCCGATCTTTTCTAAGGTTACTCTTTCGAAGACTAGCCGAAAAACCTTCTAGAACGTCTCTAGTAAGCTTTTTCGTTTAATTCTAGGTAACCGTCTTCTATTTTTACCCCGTCGTAAATTTAAGGCCTAGTTAAGAAATATATATAGGATAGTAATAGATAGCTTCCGGAATTCTTATTTAGGATCTTTACGGAGATATATATAAAATCTAATAGGCTTAGAAAAATAATAAAAAGAGGGAAGAGTTACGGAGGAAAGAGATATACTATTTCTAATAAGCCTCGATCTAGTTAAGAAGGGTAGTAGTACCTTTACTATAGTCCTCCTATATATACACAGACTTATTAAACTCTGCGAGTTACTATAGGTAATAGTCGGGAGAGTATTTATTATCTGCAAAAAGTTACGTAACATTACTAGGATCTTTAAGCTAGTCCTTATCGAAATCAGGCTCTATCGGATCGGTATCGTACTGCTCGTCGCTACTATCGTCGGAGCTAACTTCTCTAATCTATAAATCATTATTATACGACTCTGACCTCGCCTATCGTCGAGAGCGGGCTATATTACGGTGGAATAGAGAGAATTATTAAGGTACGAGTGGAAGACAAAAGTAGGTTAGGAGCTAGCGTAGGCAATAACAGTAGCCGGGAAATCAACGTCCATTTAAATAACCCTTCTCGGAATCCACATCTCTTAGCCAGAATTAAAATACTAGCCGGAGAGTAGACGTTAGAATCAGCCTTGACCATATCGTACTGCTCCCTAAGGCCGCAGGCTGCGGCGGGCTGGTGTGGGTGGAGACGAGGACAAAGGTAGGAGCGGCAGCCTCTGTGGATACTAGGGGGCAAATAGATAGGCGTAGGCGGATATCGAGGTGCGTAGCGGGAAGTTTGGCAGATTGACGGCTTAAAACGGCCTCACTTACGGCCATTTCGGGCAGTCCTTTTGCCGTCTGCTAGTTTATTATAGTATTCTAATATCTAATAATCTATTAGGATCTTAAATCTTTTCTTATATTATAGTCCCGATAGCTTAGTCTACTAGTTATCTATACTTTCTATAATCGCTAATATCTCTTAGTTATAGATATCCTATTTTTACTTTCCTAGTAATATAGTCTTTAAGAAGAATCTAATAGGATATTATATCCTATCCTACTTCTAGGATAGTATTCTCGCGATTATATCCTTCGAGATATCTATTTCTAGTCTCGTCTCTCGCTCCGGATAGTAGTATACTAGGATAGATACTAATAAAAGAGTAGTCTTTAGTTACTAGAAGGCTCTTATATAGTCTTTATTCTATATAAATAGATAATCCTTCTTCGTAAGCTAGTATAGTAGCTTTATAATATAACTATAAGCTATAATAAAATAGCGATAGAAGTTATAGAACCTAAGAAAGGATTAAACTTCTTTAATAGTTATAGGAGTTTACTATTTATAAATAGTCCTAATCTTCTTAGGATCTATTCTTACTTTATCTATCTCTACGATATAACCTAAGAACTTAGTCTTAGTTTAGTCGAACTTATATTTATAGATAGCTACTTAGAGGCTAGTAGCTTATAACTAATAGATTATAGCGTAAATATACTTAATATACTTCTTAGGATCCTCGCTAAAGATTAAGATATCGTCTATAAATATAATAGTAATAATATCTAAGAGATTCCTAAGTACCTAGTTAATATAATACTAGAAGGAGATAGGTCTCCTATATAACCTAAATAGTATAACCTTATACTTAAAAGTCCTATATCGGGTTATAAATATCGTTAGATCCTCTAAGTCTACTACTATTCTAAGTTAATAGAATTCCTATTATTATATCTTGTTAGAGATACTATAATAGTAGTTTAGGCTAACTTCTTTAGGATATACGCTTAGGGGGGGGGGAGGGCCTATATAATAGTATTCTTTTTCCCTAGGGGGAGAGGCGTTCTGCTATAGCGGTCTATAAAGTATAAATTATATAACTTAGAACTAAGAACCTAACTTTTACGGCTATAATACTAGTCTATAACTAGCTAGCCTACTATTTACGGTTCCTATCGTATAGACCTATAACCTCTCTATATCTATATTTATATTTATATACTATCCTCCTCTACTACCGAACCGTTATTTACTTCTTACTAAGTCGTTTATATAGCCGAAGATTCTAGTTCGCGTTATTATATAAATTACGGTCACGAAAAGCCTATTTCTAAATTCCGCTACTTACGGTCGAAGACGATCCTTACTTAAATTTATTTAGAGTACCGTTAGAGCTTACTTATATATTTAACTATTTTAAATAATATCCTTTTTTACTAGTTATACTCGCTAACTATATATAGGCTTTATATAAATAGACTAGCTCTATAGCTTAGATCTCTCTGTATTATCTATAGTAGCGCCTACTATACTAGTCTATGGATAAGAAAGTACCTTATAACTTCGATAAAGAAGCCCCTCGCGACTCTAATAAAGTATCTTATAATAATAATAAAGAAGTATATCGCGACTCCGTAGACTATCGATATATAACTCCGGGTAATATATAATCTATAGTAGACTTATACTAGTATTACTACTACTACGGTTTATATAGCTCCGATAATTCTATATATATCTATATAAGATATAAGTAGGCTACGATTTAATATTATTACTATATATAATATTATTATAGCGAGGATATATCCTTAATACCGTCTCTTTCTTAGTTAATATAGGCGTAGTATCTATCTCCGTCTTCGAGCTTATATACTTCGACTTTAATACTATCTAACCTAGCTAGCCTATTATAATATACCTTATAATACGCCTTATACCCTAATTTATATTTATCGTAGGTTACGTAAACTCCCGAGGCTATATCGTTATAACTATTATTCTAGTTTAGTAGTAAAGATCCTAGTAGTTTATCTTCCTAGTATAGTCTATCCCTCTTCTGTATAATCTCTTAGGCTAGAGATTAGACCCCTTCTTAGGGCTATATACTACTATTATCTACTAATATAGTATCCTTCTAGTCCTATACTAATACTACCCTACTAGATATAGATCCCTAGATATCTTTATCTCCTTTACCTCTTCCTACTAATATAGAGGAACTAAATCTCTGTAATCCTATACCAATAAATAACGAATAGTATTTACTATAGTATTTCTACGAAGAGTTATAGAAATCCTAGCTCGAGATATACTAGTATTACTAGGAATAGTAGTTTAATATATAGCTAAATAGTAATTCGATCTATAGATAGTATCTTAAGAAGAATATTAGGTAGACTATTTATTTTTATAGAGCTAAGAATAAGATATAACCTAGCCTGTTTTTACCGGAATTCCTAGAACTTATATAGATAGAGGAGTAATTAATGACCTATATATATATATTTATTAAATTCCGATTAGTCTATAGTTAGTAATTTCGCTATAAGAATTATACTATATACTTTATATAGGAAGTTAGCTATATCTATAATTAGCTATCTTTACTATCTAAGAATCTTAATATTATTATTCTATAACCGTCTACTATAGAAGGATAGACTAGTATATAGCGATAATTCCGAGATTATTTTCGAGTCTATTATATAGTAATTATATAATAGCTTTCGTTTCTGTATTATAATTATCTAGATTATAGAGATATAGAGATCTTAAGTATAGCTTTAAATACTCTTCCGGATAATAAAGACGTTATTTATCTACTATCTATATAGGTAACTAATACCTTTATAACCGTGGCGGATAGGCCTATAAATAAGACAATAAGTAATAAATCGGCTAATATAGAAGAGAATAATAAGCCTAAGATTACTATTATTTCTAATATCGCGGCTATAGAAGATAAGATAACTACTATATAGAACTTAATTAACCCTACCCTAGTTCCTATATTCTTATAGTAGTAGGCTTACTTAGTAGCGCTATCCTTCTATAGTATACCTATTTCGGAGTTTAATACTAGTATATAGCTACTTTCTCTAATATTCCTCTTACTTTTTCTATATAGTAATACAGAATTCGTACTACTATAGGAGCGTAAGATTAGCTATCTAGACTATATTCGGTATCTTATTAAGTATAATAGTTAGTATTTTACGTATTATCCCTAGTTTCGGTATATTATATTTAATAGTATTCTATATCGATAGTCGTCGTAAAAGGCTAGATTTTTTATATAAAGATAGTATAACTAACCGAACCTATCGCTTAAGGAATTATAATAGATCTTTATAAATCGAAACCTATAAGGAGACGCGCTACTCTAATCTATAATCTCCTTTAGTAGTATAATTTATAGTATATATATATACTAGTACTAGTAAAGAACCGATTTATAGGCTATTATTAAGAATATTAGTATAATATATATATTTCTTATACTCTCTACCGCCGATTTATACTAGGATAATCTAATATATTATCTCTCTTATTATAAGAAATAGATCTAGTCTCTATCTATCTAGCGTATTATTATTACGCGAGAGAATCTTCGCGATTACCTATATATTACTACTTACTAGTTCTACTTCTACTTTACCCTCTTCTTTTATATTATAATTAAAAGGAAATTTAGTATTACTAATTATTAGAGCTATTATAAGTAGTAGGATAGAGGGTCTATATATTCCTATACTATAATCTAGATTCTAAGTACTCTAAATAGGGAAAGCCTACTAACTCTAGTCCTTAAGGAAGCCTTTATAGAGTAGTAGGATATCTATATTACTACTATAAATCTAGAGTATAATTATCGATAATCTAGCTATAATAAATATCTAGTTATATAGTTTATATCTATAGAGCTTAAGAATATATAGTAGTAGCTCTCCGATCTAGTTAATCGAGTATAGCTCTATAGCTATATAGATTAGTACTATAAGTATAAGAACCGAGTTATCTATATAGAGGAGTACCGATTTAGATTTCTAATAAAGGTTACTATTAAGAGCTACCTTATAACCCGTTCTAGATCTAGCTATAAGTAGTTCTATCTAATCCGGAATTACCTATATCTTAATCCTTATAACTCGCTAGTAAGTATATCTTAGCTTATAAATATAGATATTATACTATATATAGATTATAAGGCGCTTCTAGAGTATCTTACTAAGTATATATTAAAGCTAGAGAAGGCTATACTATCCTTTATAGATATAATATATATAATACTTATTACCGCTAACCCCGATTAGTCCTTATAATCTATAGTATAGAAGCTAATAAATCGTTTTATCGCTAAATATAATTAGTCTATATAAGAGATTTTCTATATACTCCTTAGTCTATCCCTCTAATAAGATACCTATAAAGTAATTCGTATAGACTATAGTCCCGAAGAATCTCGAGGGGTATCTTATATCGTTATACCGGATAATAACGATAGAGAAACCTTAATTTAAAGTTATTTAG